AAAAAATAAAACAAAAAATATGCAACCAGCCAGAGAAGGGTTCCACTTCCAAAGGGCTCATGGTCACTGTGGACCTCCCCGTACACTGCTTCTGGATAAGCATGAAGCCACGGACTGGCAACCTAAGTCCATCTGCAAGGCTCCATCGGCCAGCAACGTGGCAGAGTCCTGGGCAGATGTCTCAGCCCACTGAAGACACCTGAGGTGAGGACAGGAGCCCTGGGCAGCTTGGTGCTCTGCCTACCTTTACTCTGCCTGCTGCCTTCTCGTCTCAGCCCCACCTTCCTGCTGGAGCATGGACAGAACTGCTGGGTATGCGGCTGCCACCCTCGTGTGACCTAACGTAGCCAAGTGAATGTGATGGTGGAGGCCGGAAAACAGAGCCTGCATCTGGGACAAAACTGAGCTCTGCAGGAAGCTGGCAGCCCCACCTCCTCCTGCCACGTCTTCAGATCAACTCTCATTTGTTCAAGGGACAGCTAGCCGGTGTTCTGTTCATCTCCCGGTGGAATTCAGCCTTCTATGGCTGTGACCAAAAGACCTGGCAGGAACAACATAGAGGAGCGGAAGTTTATCTGGGGCTGTGGTTTCAGAGGTTCAGTCCGTGTGGGCCTACTCCATTGCTCGGAGCCCAAGGTGAGGCAGGGCATCATGGCAAGGCATCATGGCAGAAGAAAGCAGCTCAGGACACCTCAAACAGGAAGCATAGAGAGCCCTGCTCACCAGGGACAAAGTATAAACCCAAAGACATGCCCCCAGGCACTCATGCCCCAGCCACACCCTACAGCCTACTCTATGGCCAGTTAATCCATTGGTGGATAGTCCACTGACTAGGCTAAGGTCCTCATAACCCAATCATTTCACTCTGAAAATTCTCCCATTGTCTAACAAATGTGCTTTGGTGAGACACCTCATTTCTAAACCATAAACCTCCCAAACAGAATCCCCAGACAGGCCAGGCGTGGCCCTTTCTGCCCTCTCTAGATGATCTAGTGTGCCCCTACCCCACTCAGGGCCTCTACCAGAAGTGGAGGACGTGGCGAGAGCAGCCTCTGACCTGCTCCTTCCAGCCTCTCAGGGGCTCCTGTTCTGGGCTGGGAGAGAGAGGGAGAGCCGCTTCTCCAGGACTGTGGCTGTGGCCGCTGCTCCAATCCAGGCTGGACTGTCCTCTGGCCTCCTGCTCTCCCCTGCCTGCACATCTGAATTCAAGACATCAACACTCAGAGCAAATCCCATCATCTGCTCTGTGCATCTGCTGGCGAGGCGCCTAACCAGGGCAGACAGGTGATGTGATTCCCTGTTGCTCGCGGCCCTCTGAGCAAACTGGTGCTGGCCTCATGTTCATGTCATAAAGCAGCCCCAGCACCCCAACCCCACAGGAACTTGGCTTTCCACCAGAGTGAGGCCTTTTCACCTTGCGTGTGTGTAATGAACTGGAAGCACTGGGTGTGGTGAACCAGCCCAGGGCAGGGACCTGGCAAGCCTCTGCCCCACTCCATGGTGCTGAGAACAGCCTGATGGCGGGTGGCCTTGGAAAACCTCAAAGCCCGACCCAATGGGAGGCTGGAGCAGAATGGGCGGTCGTCAGTCTTCTCAGTGGACCACCCTGGTTACCTCTGGATGAGTGGCAAGATGCTTGGGTCGTCCTTGCTGTGAACTGAGAACCAAATAGGCTGGATCTTTCCGGGGAGCTGAGCCCACACCTGGGGCACTTAGCGCTCACATGAAGGACCACCTTTAATTATGGGAAAACAGAAGACAATGGAGCCCATTTCCAAGGGCTCCTATAAAGCATCTGTTACTCACTGATGGAATGAATGGAGCCAGAGTCATATCTCTATGGCTTATCAATGGTGCTGCCAGGCAGCATTAATCAGACAGCTGATTAACTGAATTCAGTGCTGATAGGAGATCATGAGATGGAGGCCAATTGAGAGCAGCGGCCAGGTGCTGCGTGGTGTGAGCAGTTGCCTGGCGCTGGCTCTCCTGGTGGCCGGCTTGGCACGGCTCACGCTGTTGGCTTGCTGTGCTTTGACATGGTCATCAGGAGGTCAGCCAGGGGTTGAAAGCTCTGCTGGTTTAAGTCTCTTATGACACACTCTAGGTGTGAAGGAAGTATACCAGTGGGTCAGACCCACAAACACCCACTAAGTGTAAAATGTTTCCCAAGAGGGTCTCAGCAAATGGTGCTTCCTCCCTTCTCCCTGAGAGAGGAAAACGGTAGATCACAGGTACTGAACTTGGGGTTGAACAGGAGTCCAAGGCCTGCTCTTTTACCAAGAACCTGTGCCATCATGGCCCAGCAGCTATCCTCCTCTGGGCCCTGGTTTTATCATCTATGCAGTGAGACAAGCGATCACATCTGGCTGGACCACGGTGCTGGATTGAATGACCTGGTTTTCTTCAAGGGCCAGGTACGTACCCCTCTTCTCTCCCCTCCATCCAGTCCAAGTTATTGCCTTGAAAGGAAGCTGCTGCAGGGCCGCGAATACCTGCAGCTTCTGCAAAGAAAACCACAGGAAATTAAAGTCTCAGGCATCACGGCATTCCGGCATTCCAGGGCCGTCTCAGGCCTTCCTCACTTGTAGACGCAATTAAACCGAAGCCAGAGAGGTCAAGTGGCTGCTCCGGGTCACAGCAGGTCAATAGCAGAGCAGGGCTCCCGAGCCCTGAGCCTTCCAGGTGCTACATGTGGGTGTCATAACAGAAAACAAGTGACGTGGCTTAAGTGGCACTGGGATTTACCATCTCATTCATGGAAGGGCATCAGTGCCAGGGCTGAGCCCTTATGTACGTGGCATCTACAGGGGTGGGAACCAGTCTAGGTGATATGAGCCTAGCTAGCTATCTGCTACAGGGCACGAGCACCGGGAAAATCACTGGAGTGGCCGCAGGAGGGGGCTTTAAGCTACATATTCAGGAATGGAACCCAAGCCACTCAGAGCTCACCTACGGGGCCGGCCCCCTCACCCCACCACATCAGGGCTGCTGCCTTTCCTGCCAGGAAGTGGAGGATGGCCACTTATGTGGAGGTGGGCCAGATATGGAGAGATTCACCAGGAGGGTCGAGAGATGGAGGCCCTCAGTCTAGCTTCTTAGCCTCCAGCCAGAGCCTCTCCCTGGCAGCGGCTGGGTTCCCTCATTCTTATCCAGACCCCTGGTGGAGCCTCCCCTGGGACAAGGAGGGTGGAAGGTGGTGGAGGTTACTGAATGGCGTCAGCACACCCTTCCTGAGATGAAGCAAGCAAACTCTGTAGGTTGAATATGGTCGTCTCTCTCCACAGTTTAACCCCTACTGCAGGTATGAAGAGTGTAGGGACTCAATCTGGCTGTAGTGCTGAGGGGCGGGGTCCTGGAAGGTGAGTGGGACTCCATAAGGCAGGTTAGGGAGGCACCTCTCAGACTGGTTCCTGTGGCTTTATAGGAAGCTATGGAGCCCAAGTGGGCACACATGCTCTTGCCAGCTGATGCCTGGCACCCCTTTGGGGCTCTGCCAGCAAAATGTGGTCAGCAGATGCAGCCCCTTAATTTTGAATGTCTCCAGAACCGTGAGACCACAGAAATTCATTTGCAAAATCACCCAGTCCTGTTGTGTTACAAAGAGTGATCTGAACTCACCCTAAAATGCACCATTTTAAAATTGCTCCAGACACTGGTAACACATAATGCCTTCTGACTGCTCAGGGCTGGCGAGTCACCCCTATAGAAAAACAGGCTGAAATTAATGCTTACCTTGATGAGGCTGTCCAAAGTCTTTGGCCATTGGGGCATTTGTGGAATCTGCCACTCTACCACCATCACCATTCCCAGAGTGCCAGGAAGCACTCCACCGCTATTCTCAGCCTAGGAGCTCTGTGGAGATAATTTCAGCTCCAGGGTCCAGAGTGGACCAAAAGACCGAGGCTGTCCCATCATTCCACTCCTTCTACCTGGCCCAGCTTCCAGGGCAGTCAATTCATGGCTCAGACAAGTCCATCATGGGACCTTTATTTAAGTCATCATACAGCCTAGATCAGGGGAGTTAGTGAGTCTAGATTTGATCCTGTACTTGCCCAGCCTCGGTGGGCAGAGTCAAGAATGAACCTGGATGAAACACAATGGAGAAGTGGGTCATGCAGGAGCCTGGACTCTGGCCTCCTCTTCAAGGACACTGGATCACTACTCAGGATCTGTTAGGTGAAGACACTTTCGGGCCAGGTTTTCTGTCACCAAAAAAAAAAAAAAAGATGGATTCAATGCTCACATCAAATAAACAAAGTATGTAATGTTACTATAACTATGTAACCTGTAACTGTGACCTGTAACCTCACTATAGCCTGTACACTTACTCTAACAGATTAGAAATCATTAGACTGGTTGAGTCTCTTGCTCTTATGAAAATATGAATAGAGAAAGGAGCTTCGGTGGTGTGGAACTTGGGATCATCATTGGAAATTGCCTTGAGGTGACACACCCCAGCCTGTGCTACTGTTCCTCGCCCTTCAGGGTCCGTGCTGAGCACATCACTGCCGGTGGCTCCTCTGTGCTCTCCCTTCCCTCACTCACCTCCAGCTCTGCCTCCCGGGGAGCCACCTGGTAACGCTCCGCTGCCGAAGCCTGTCCCGTGCCCTGCATGGCCAGGCACAAAGCTCTCCATGTTGTTGTTTCACAAGGGACCCAGCCACCCCTCCCTGATTCATTAATCAGAAACAAACTCCATTCTCATTCCAGGGTCTTCACATGTGGCACTTAACAGCAAAATCAAGACTTTCTTTGCTGAGATTCCCTTTGCTACCTCCCAAGAAGGACAGAGACAAGACATTGCCAGAGGCAAGATGTTTGCAGGTGACCCTTGATGCCCAGCCGAGCTACTTCCTGGGACCAGGGGAGAAGCGAAGGCTGAGGTCAAGGGTCGTCTGCAGTGTGCAGCCCTCTTCACTGCAGCTGAGGCTCCCAGGTGCAGGACTCCCTCCACAGCTACGCCTGATTTGATATGCAGCTGATTAGTTGCTGCTGAAACTGGGGAAGACTCCAACATCTCCATCTCAAATTTCAAAGGCAAAATTCAGCAGAAAAATGAATGGAGGCCAAATTCAAATTTTACAACCACAACAAACTTTTACTTAGTTCTTTAGAAACCAGGTAGAACTCTCCACCGATTCCTTTAAAATAGCTCCACCGTGACCAGAGTCACCACATCTTAAAGCAGACCCATGGGGCTGGGGCTGGACATGGATGGCTTGGTTAAGCAGAACCCAAGTTCCCAGCTGTCTTCCCCACGTGTTTCCAGGGTGAAGCTGGCTGAGCACGAATTCACGGATTTGGATTCACACTGACAGATCTGGAGTGCCGAGTGAGGCAGCAGAGCTCCTACCTCTGAAGGTTGCCATGACTACAGAGAGACAGGGACGTGAAGGACTGGGCTGGGTCTCTCTCCTTGTGTGCACACCTAGCTCTCCTCCTGCTGACCATGGGATCTGATGACCAGTAGTGACTCCAGAGGAGTCAGAACAGGAACAGCTTTATGTTATTTATTTATATATTTTTTTGTATCAGAGATTGAACCCAGGGGTGACTAACCATGGAGCCACACCCCCAGCCCTTTATATCCTTTAATAATATACATATATTATTTTGAGATAGGGACTCACTAAATTGCTGAGTCTGGTTTTGAACTTGTGATCCTCATGCCTTGGCCTCCCAAGCCACTGAGATTTTGTTGCTTTTTTAAAAAAATGAACATTTTGGAACATAAATGAGGCAGAAAGAATATACCTAGGCTTACGGGATTCGATTTGTTAAAATCATGTTAAAGGTTTTTGCATCTGTTCATGAAGGGTATGGTATTGTTTCTAAATTAACTTTGTCAGGCTTGCTAGTTTTACAAAAATGAATTGGAGAGTATCCATCTTCCTCCGTTTTCTGGAAGGTTTATGCAAGCTTGGTGTTGTTTCTTCCCTTAGCATTATTAGATAAAAGTCACCAATGGAATTATCTGGCCTCTTAAGAAGGATTTCCTAGGAGGCAGAATAATGCCCCCTAAGATATCCATTCCCTAATCACTGGAGACTCTGGTTATATTACTTCCCATGGCAAAAAGATCTCTGAAGATTTGATTAAGGGTACAGACCTTGAGAGGAGGGGTTGTTTTGGATTATCCAGGCCCAATCTTGTAAAATGAGTCTTTAAATTCAGAGAGCCCTTCTGAGCTGGGTGAGGGAGATGCAGGTGTGCGAAGGATCCTCCCTGCTGCTGACCCTGAGATGTTGGTGCAATGTCCCCGACCACCTAGGCCTCGGGTGCCAAGAGCAGGGCCCAGCCCCCAGCCAGCAAGAAGAGACCACAGTGACACCAAAATTGCATGGACTGAGTTCGGTGAACACTCAGATGAGGAGCACAAGATGGGAAAGGAACCCCCTGGGAATTGTCTTCCCTTCATGAACGGTTGGGAAATTGCTTAATTTCCAAATACTTGGGTCTTTTCTAGATATCCTGTTGCTATTGATTTGTAATTTTTTCCCATTTTTGGTCAGATAACATTTTCTGCCTGACTTCAGTCTTCTAAGATCGAGACATTACATGTTCTTGAAAATTGAGCCCCTGAAGCACCAGGTGTGGTGTTTTATGATCCTCGGTCAGTTCATGGCAGTTGAGGAGGATTTGCAGCTCACCTGTGGCCATGCTGATTCAGTGGACAGAGGAGAGAGATGACAGGTACAGAGAGACCCAGGTGGTGCTTGGATTCAGGCTCACACTAAGAAATGGCTACGTCACATACCTGTATGTTTGTGGGTATGTGATGAGACCATTTAAATCTCCCCTCTCTGCAGGTCTCAGATGTGTGTGATACCTTCTTACCCAGTCTGTGACTTCTGAACACACTCCTTCCCCCACGGAAACCACGCCCCCTCGCACCCCACCCTCACTTCACCTCCATTTCCCGCTCCTGCTCCTAATTGCCATTCTCCCCTCCATTCTCCCCTCTGCTTCTATGACTTGGGCTTTTGTAGATGTCACATGAGAGGAGAATACCCTCAATTTCATTTTCCTTGCCCTGCTTATAGATGAAGGTCCTCCAGGGTTCGCCTGTGTTGCTCCAAATAACAAAATATCCTTCTTTTTCAAAACTGGGCAGAACTCCACATGTCCACCTGCTGCATCTTTATCCGCCCGACCATGGGGGGCCCTGAGTTAACTCTATGACTTCACTGACTCTCAGCAATGCTGCAGCAGACCCAGCCAGCAGCTGTCTATCCTGCTGATCCCATGTCCTCTGCACACAAGCCTAGCAGCAGGACTGCTGGACCCCAGGGTAGTTCCCACTGCAGTGAGCAGGTTGCCCTTCCTCCACATCCTCCCGTGCTTATCTTCTGCCTTCTTGGAGATAATCACAGGGTCTGCTGGGACTGATGGACTGGCCTGAGGGGATAATTCATTGTCATTCTAATTCGCATCTCCCCAAAGACTCCTGATGTTCAGCATTTTTTTTTTTTGAATGCTTGGTGGCCATTTGTGTGTCTCCCTTTTAAGAACTGTTTATCCAGGTCCTTTGCCCATTTTCATGGCTTTTGAATTTCTTGGCTTTTGAAGTTCAGATTATATCCTGCACATTGCAAGGGATATACTTCTGAACCCTTCTAATTTTCTGAATTGTGGAGAGGTGCTGTATTTTGCTATGTTCATCTGAAAAGCATGGATATACTTTTATATTTTGAGTGCCATCAGGTGGTTGGATTTGATCTCCACATTGTCTTGCAGGTTCTTCTGGGAGGAGCTCAGTCCTTTCATGCTCTGCTGTGCTTAGAGTCTAGCTATGCATGTGTGGTTTGTGGGATATCCAGAGGCTTGGGTGACGGTTAGACCACTAGTGTGGGAGGCCTTCCTTTCCAGTTTCTTGGCTCGAATCCCCGCCGCCCCCCATTCCACAGCTCTGAGCTCTGCCCTCTAGCTCTTCAAGCCAGGAGGAGTGGGCTTCTCAGGACAGCTAGTGGGCCCACGCTGCCATAACAGTGGCCGACTCTTAGGAGAAGAGCCACAGGGACTGGAGACATTCTCTATGCCTCTTCCCTCTTCCCCAGGCCTGCTGCCTTCAGCATCTCTCCCAAGAGCCTTCTCTTTTGTTTCTTTTGTCACCTGTGTGAAGACCAATCTCAGAGGCCTTTTCTTGGCCCCTCCAGAGTCTGAACTCCTTCCAATGTCCCCCGCCAGCTCCTCTCTCCTTGCCCTCCTCCTACGGCTGGGCAGCTTGTCCCCAGAATCTCCAACAGGCTCTCCACCCTGGTCCCCTGATATCTGCCAGGCTCTGCAGTCCCTAGTCAGTCACCTGTGAGTGCTTCTCGGAAGCTGCCAGGGGATTTCTTATCCTCCACTGCCCCCTCCTGGTCTTATTTCTCCTGTGTCTCCCTGGATTACATAGGTGTCCTGTTCCTAACCCAAATCCCCTGTTCCTGATGGTTTCCCTTCCCCAGGGAGCCCTGACAGAATAGAATCAGTACCCCTGAGTTCCCTGACAATCCTAGCGGTGACCTGAACAGTGCATGATTCATGCCTTCTGTCAGGGCCAGCGCAAAATCCCCCTTCCTAGTGCTTCCCCTTGCTCCTAGTGCCAGCAGGTCTGCTTTGCTCTCTGGAGCCCCCCAAAAGATCAAATGTGGGTCTCCCAGCTCTATGTAGGAGTCATCATCCTCTGAAACCACATCAAGGAGGTGCTGCCCTGACTATCCACCCCTGACTTGTCAGAGGTAGAAGGTCCAGCCACAGCCAGTGCTGCCCCTGGAGGGCATGTGAGTGTCTGCCCAGCTCAGTGACCCTCTTTGATCTGCCTGCCACCACTTACCCCCAGAAATCCGCGAATTTTCTGTACCAGCAGCAAATGCCAGGCGTGACCACCAGGGGGCGCTGCAGAACCGTCGGCACCTGTCAGCTGGGGCTGGCTTCTCACAAAAATTGCAGACCTTGGCTCCAGGCATCGGAAGAACAAGGTGTGTAGGAGTTTCCATTTGAAGCTCAATATGTTTTAACAGACTATGGAAGAGTTTTGAGGAGAGTTAAAAGCAATGCGGGCATGACAGTGAAGCTCCTATAGTCACCTGGCTTCTGATAAAGGCGGTTGACCACAGCTAGTCCTGAGTAAGCTGCAAGTGTCCCCTCCTCTGGGAACTGGCTGGATCTCTGATGAATCCTAAGTGACTTCAGTGGTTTTGGATGCTGGTCACGGTTGGCCAGAGCAACATGGACAAATTACTTTGTAACAGTGCTATGTTGTGTCTTAGTGGTAGGTGAGTTTGAATTGAATTATTTCCTATTAAATATTCAAAACTTAGGTCTTTATGAGCAATGACTGTAATATTAAGAAAAAATGAAACTAAAGGCTTGGGGTGGAGAAGGCCAGCTCTGTAGGATGGTTGAACCTCCTGTAGCTCAAGACGAAGATGTGGGAGTTGGTCTCAGAAGACCAATTTTTTGGGCTGATGGTCATGAGGACCAACTGGGAGTAACTGTTCCTACTCCCATTTAGACACTGCCTTGTGGCTATCTGTCTTGTCTGCCACAGAGATCCATTTCTCTTAGCTCTCCTGTGTCTTCACTGTGGATCTCACTCCCCAGAAGCCTGTGGTCAGACACCACTTCTTCAAAGGGATCACAGAGCATTTATCCAGCCTTGTTTTTCTGGATGCAGGGTATTTTATAAGGAGCAATAAATGTAGATGCTTGGGCATTTCTGTGAGGATGGGTTACACCGTGGTACAGTAACAAGCAAGTCTGAAATCCCATTGGCTTAAAACGTGTGCTCATTGACCCACTCGAGAACCCAGGTGACAAAGGAGCCACCACCTTGACTAAGGCCAGCCACCGCCCACCCTCTCCAAATATGGGGTTCACTGAGAGGCACATCTTAAATAGCCAGTGTTAACTATCTGCATGAAACACCCTGTTCGTGTTCTGGAAGGATGGAGCAAACCCTGAGTGCTCACAACTGCTTCCTCCTGATAAGCAGGGAATGGCCTTGGGTAAGATGTTCAGATAATGGTAGTTTGGAGAATATGATGATGTATAAGTTGCAGAACAGGGCAATGGGTTAGGGGGCCATTACTCCAGGAATGATCACTGACCACAGCAGCAAAGTGCTCAAGGGCCCCACCCCATCTATGAGTCAGAATCAGTGTTTTAGCA